AATCCCTTTCATTTTTCAAAAAACTATTACTCATCATTTGAATTTACTTTAAATGCATTTCCAGTATGGTAACCTGTCAGTCATCCATCCACTGGTGTGCATCAGGCTCGTCTTTCGCTGAGACATGCCAGGCGCATAGCCCTGGCCCATGGCTATTTTATCGTCCATCTTGCACAAATCTTCTGTAAAGGACCACATCATGCATTCGGTCCATGAAATACACGCAGCCTCGCAGGCCTCGGCCGACTGCCAACCCTGCTTCCAGACAGCCTCATCATACGAGCTTCTGTCTTCAGGAGCTGGAGGCCACTTTTGGTTGTCAGAGGTAATGGAGAACTGGTTGGCTCCGTTCTCCCACCACTGAGCGGGCTTCTCAATGTGCGGGAGAATCATCTCATTGAAAAAGTCACGGTGTAGGAATGGCTTCTAAATGCAGTTAATGGTTAGCATACTGTCATGTGAGTTGAGGGTGATAGGGCTGGACGAACCGAAAAGTCCCAACGCTTCTCCAGCTCATAGTATTGAGCCACGTCTCGACTGTGAGTCTTGTGCCAAGACATCAAAGGATAGCACCAATTCGATCTGCTAAAAGAAAAGGCCCAGTGGACAAGAGGGTTGAATCCCCAGGTGAACAGCTCTTCACCGTCGTTCTCGCCAAACTTGACGCCATATTGGTTTAAAGCGTACCCGAGCACCTGGTCTCCACAGCATCTCTCGGCAGTGTAGTTGTAAAAGGTCTCCGCCATGTTGGGGTTCTTCCCGAATGACGCCTCCCAGGCACCCCGGGAGAGCGCAAAACCCGCACCGCCCTGGGCGAAGACGACGTCCGACTTGGCGGCATAGCTGCCCAGCCAGTGCGGCTTCTTCCAGTCGAAACCGGAAAGGTAGCGGCGGATGCTGGGGAGGAAGAGGTAGGCGTCGTCCTCCATGTAGACGTACCACTTGGCCTTGGGCCAGTTCTCGCCCGCGTGCTGCACCAGGGGCACGAACTTGTACTTGTCGATAATCCAGCCGCCCTGGGGACCCCATTCGTCTCCGTTGACGCCCGCAGCCTCTACGTAGAAGTTGTGGGCGTTGTACTCGGGCTGCTGCCGGTACACATCAAAGTCGGGTGCCTGCTTCGCCTCGTCTGTCATGTTTGCGAGCACATCAATGATCGTGAACTCGCCAACTTTTTCAGCAAGGTCGGAATAGATGACTATGTTTTTGGGAGAGATTCGATCTCTTGAGAGGGTGGTAGAGAGATGCACAAGCAGCCGCTTCCACATGGTGGTGCCGCCAGTTTTCATGATGAGAAGAATGTCATCATCGTCATCTTCGGCCACAGCAGGGACCGAAGCGACTGGTTTTGGTGTTTTAGATTCGACTGGCTTGATATCCTCAACATGGCTGCTGGGGCTATTCAGTGGTGCGCTAGTTGGAGCGCTGGGAAGGGACTTTGTTGTTGTTGTGTGCAATGGCTCTGGTGACTCAACCTTGATTTGGTGTGGAGGCTGATTGGTTGTTTTCTGGACACCATGACCGTAGTTCTCAACGCTTGGGTCTACCAGCCAGAAGAGAATAATAATACACGTAGCCATTATTACGGCTGGCACGAGCCGGTTATTCCGGTAGGTGACGACCATGTTGCCCTTCATCTTGACGCAATCTGCTGGACAACAGACACCGCTGAAAGAAAGACAAGAATGTTGAGGCGGGCTGTAAGTGATACTATAACCGACAGCTGGGGATGAAAGGGGTAGAAATGACTCAAATTAGAGTGAGTGCCATGATCCATCGTATCGGCGGTAATAATACGCCCGGGTCGCCCGGCTGCCTGGTGCCCAGCAATTGAGCCCTTTAGAAACCTCCTAAAGGCCAAGAGCTTCGCCCGGTAAGCGGCAGATGTTCTAGGGCTTATAGAGATAACGGCCGGGGTTTACTGCCTTGACCAATTTGCCGTCGATGAATTCGTCTTTCTCCGGGGGGCGAAAGATCAAAGATCAAACGATAACGAGGGCGTCTTACCAGAACAAGTAAAGCATTCAACACATGGCTCCGCAAAACGCACCGGCTGTAGCATGGGTTACTGAGATGAGAAGGTAAGGCAGAGGGAATAGGCAGACACGGGTCCACAGCAATGTAACGCTGACTGGCTGTCGGCAAGCCTTACGGAGTAATTTGTGATTCCATCAACTCTGACCCTCATCTGCGGGAGGTCGTGAATTTTGTCACGAAGTGGCGCAGTGGAATAGATGAATCCTTTTGATGCCAAGACCCGAGCTGATATCTCAGCGCATTGCGCGATGTTACATCTCGTATACGCACCAGCGGGATATCGAGAAATGTCTAGAGAATGCCTAACGCATCAGTCACGCGTCGTGTCTGGTCGAAATTTTCACTCGTAATTACTCGCCGCTAGCTTCTCCTCGGTGATCCTACGGTCCCCCATCCCCCATGTCCACAGCTAGGGCTTTCGGATATAGTGATATGGCGGCGAAGCACTTTCGGTAACGGCCGGCCTAGACCGTTGACTGGCTAAGGCACATGCAGAATGCTGGAATAAGGTGAGTGACTAGGCAGCTGAGCAAATTACATGACAATTCGGTGATGACACAATTTGTTGAAAACCCGCCGAAGCCCACATGTTAGAAATGTGGTTACATAGACACTACGCTGGTACTTCTCCTGAGCTTATCCGGGTTTAAGCCCATCCTTCACTGTCGTTCTTTTAATTCTCATCAACGCTCGTTAATCTTTAATACACCACGTCGAGAAAATGGGCGTGAGAGAAGTGTACCAGCAGGGTGGCTACGGCACGACTGTAGCCAGTCCTCGGCATGTTTCCATACTTCGTCAAGTGGTCAATGTTCTGGGCTGCCTCGCATCTCTGCCATTGTATTGGTTCATCACCGTCCACTGTCGGTGGCCAGTGACGCTTGATCTGATCATCACGATCGGACTGGCAGAACTGAACCGCTATATCAATGAGGGTCGGAGACTGGCCTTCCTTGATGAAGCAAGCTATGACTCCGAGTCTGACATCGAGGAGAAGAACCACCATGAGATCCATGCTTTGCGGATCGACGAGAAGTCAGCATCGCCTGTGGAGTCGGGATCAGCGTCCTCGCGGCTAGATTGCCTCGCTGCGATCGTCGGTTGGCGGGAGGACCCATCGCTTTTTACCCGGGCCTTGGAGAGTTACAGAACGACTCAGAATTGTGCATTCGTTCTTGTTGGCATTGACGGCAATGAAGCTGAGGACATGGACATGGTCCATGTGTTCAACAATGTAAGTTAATAACAATTCTTTTGAAAGCAGAGGATACTGACTCAATGCAATAGGTCTTCCCCAAGCAATCCCATGTGATCGACGTCCCAGAGCCCCTCGGCGAAATAGCCCATCGGGTTCGAAACAGAGAAATTGCCAAGCGCGAACGAAACGGCGAGAAAATAAACTACACCGAAATCGATGAGATCGCTGTTCGCCAGTGTATCCAAATAGCCCGCTCGTTGATCTCCCAGGGCAATCTGACATTCAGTGGCCCTTTCGGGACTCGTCAACTCTGTCTCCGACAACAACACATGCACAAGAAAGGCATCATGTTCACCACGTTCATTTTCGCGTTGGTAATATCCGATATCATGGGTATTGAGTTTCTTTGGAGCTCTGACTCAGATACGTTGGTATTTAATGACTCACTGAGCCGAACTGTTGATGCTATTGCCATCGACCAAAGCATCGGCGGAGCCAGTTCTGGTCTGGTAGTTCACAACGGCCAAGAGAGCCTCGTTACTCTCCTTGCTGAAACCGTATATTGGGGCGAACTATATCTGACCCGATCAACCCCTGCCGCCACCGCATCAAGCGACTGTCAGAGTGGACCCAGCACGATCTTTCGACTGGCTGCTTTGCCGCCCATCCTGCTCCCTTGGTATACTCAAACCATTATGGGCAAGAGAATGGTAAGATAACTATTGACTGAACTTTGGAAACCTTGAACTGACATTGCCGTGCCCTTTAGATCATCAATGAAGATCGTCACCTCACTACCAACCTCCTCAAGTCTGGATGGGGTGTCGTTTTCGCATCTGATGTCCTCACAGCAACTGACACTCCCGCTTCTCTCTCCCGCTGGCTTCGTCAACAGGTACGGTGGGCACGGGCTACCCACATCGAGTCGTTGCTACAGCCCCGTGTATACCTAAAGAGCCACCCTCTTCTCTTCCATGGCATGGCCAAGCGCGAGTTTGGTCCAGTTCTTGCCGCGATTGCCATGATATATTACTTCTTCACTGCCAAGCAACTCATCGTGTTCTCTGCCACTGACCTCTTCTTCCGCTGCATCGTGGGGTTGGTATACAACGTTCTACGCAACCCTCACCGGTTGAGAACCAGCTCGCTGAAATGGGTCATCCCTGGCATTGTGTTCTACCACGTTCCCCTGCCCGCTGTGCATCTGTGGAGTATGTTGACTCTGACGGCGGATGGCTGGGGCACTAGCATGCGCGCGAACAGCGAGCAGGCAAAGAAGGACAGCACCTGGCAGGCGTGGTGGGAGAACGGCTTCTTCGTGATCTGGATGGGTGTCGTTGCTGGGTCCGCCGCAAGGTGGATGATGACCAATGTGATGCATGATCTCAGCCATTCCATGTCTATGCTGGTGTTCTTTGGCAGCATAACAGTTGCTGGGATGCTTGCGTGGAAAGCGACCATCGCATCCTCCTGAGTTGACCGGCTTGATTGAATTAATCCGCGGCAGTAATCAAGATGCTTCACGAATAAAAAATGGAAACCAGAAGATAAAACTATTAGATTATATTGCCTAATTTCAATAGACTATAGAAATTTCATTAGACTATAGAGACATTTACAAATAAATAAGATACTTCAACCGAATAGTCATTGTCAAGCTACAAGTAGGAGTTACATAGACCTGCAGGCTCTAGCAGAACTAAAGACAGTAGTGAATGTTGCTCTTACATATAAAGATATAGATTTAAATTAAGGAAACTTAACAATGGCGAGAAGTAGGTATATCAAACCGATCAGCAATCATTAAGTTAAGCTACTGTGCTGGAAGCTCGTCACGGGTAATGACCCATAGCTTCTTTGAGAACGGCCCCTTGGAAACCCACGTCACATGCATTCCAGAAGTCAAGCCGATGAGATCACCAGCCTTGAAGTTGTGCTTCTTGCCACTCTCCGTCTCCGTAACCTCCACTTCTCCCTCCAGAAGGAAGATAGTCTCATCGCCCAGAACCCCGGTGTACGGCGTGGTCATGGAACCATTCTCGTCGAGATGTGTTGCCGCGATGCCTTTGCCGGAGCGCCAAACCCCGCTCAGCATTGTGCCTGTCGTCCCGCTGTTTCGAATGAAGTAGAGCTCTCCAGCTACCAGGTCGCCCTCTTTGGGCTCTGTGAAGTGGTAGTCGGCCCACTCAGCCGGGCTGTCGCTGATATTGTTGATGCCGAGGTCGGTCGGGGGATTAGAGGTATTATCCGTCCCGTTCCAGATACACCACCACTTCTTGAAGAAGGGGGCGTCAATCTCCCAGAGGACCTCCAAGTTCTTGGGCGAGCTGATGATGGTACCAGGGCCAACAGTATACTTCTTGCCGGTCGAGACGACAGTGAGCGTCGCGCTGCCGTCAATGACACAGGCAGTCTCGTCGCCGAGGGGCGCAGAGTAGATGAGCTTGGAGGAGCCGTCCGCGTTGGCTCCGGGAGCTGAGGCAGAAGTCCTCCAGAAACCGGCGGAGAGGTTTCCGCTGGTTCCAAATTTGCGGGCGACGGTCACCTCGCCAAACACCTGCTTGCCCTTCTTTGGTTCTTCCCATTCAAAGGGCACCCACTCGGTGGAAGGTGGGATTGGGCTGCTGCCATGGACAATGTGTGTCTTAGGTTGGGCCATTATGGTAGGCTATTCGATAAGTGGTAAGTAGGGTATTGATAGGAAAACTTGCTTGTTATTGAATCAAAGCTGCTTGTCTGATTGCAATTCAACCGGTGATGAATGCCTTTATTTATCTATTCGGTGTCCATTATCGTCTCGCATGATTGATAGCGGTCCGGTTCAAGAGAAGAACAACCCCGCACTGCGGTCTTCTTAGATCCGCAGATATGAAGCCATAACGAGTCGTGTCGAGGGAATGTGGCTGTTAGCTTGCGGGAACTTCACATCCGCTCGTAATCTCCAGTGACATTACCCTGGTTCGCCACGCAACACACCTGATAACAAACAGCCAGTGCCCTCGTGACCTACAAGATAGGTGAGATCATTCACCCATCACCTACTAACTATTCTTGGCCTTCAAGCGCTAGCTAAAACTTCTTCTGGGGTACACCGTTATCAGTCACTCTCCCTTGGCTTCTTCATGTACTTCGAGGGCCTCGGTACTTGATTCATTGATAAACCCCAAAGCGTGTTTGCTATACCGCAATCAGACCAAAAAGTACCCAAACTAGTCGGCTTACTTGGCTTGCCATTGAAAAGTGAGGCAGTCTGCAACGAAAGTTTCCCAAGCACTTGAACAACAATTACTTCGGTTTGAGCAATGCCCGACAACCAATATCTCATGGTATTTGAAAGAGCCAAGTTTTTGGTATTTTTATTTTTATTTCAATGATAAGAACGTTCTGATTGACTTACAATGATGTTGATATTCAAAACCTATCTAAAAAGATGACATTCATTGTATTCTTGTACATCAATTAGCGGATCAAACTATATCTAGAATATTCAACATCACTTGAAGTAAGATCTGTCCCTATGCGTTATTAGCATGAGGACACTCTGCAGATTTCTGCTCTGCCTCAGCCCCCCCCTTATCCTCCCCCTTTCCATCGGCACCGATAATCGCGTCCTTGAAGACCGCAAAGCCGGACGGCGTCTCCTCCAAGACGGGGAAGTGAAACCCGCACCCGGGGCACTGCTCATGCAGCACGGCCTGCTCCTGCGCGAGGTCGTACTTCTTGTCCTGGGTGTGGTTGCAGACAGGACAGACGCGCAGCAGCCGCGTCCCCACGAGCTCAAAGTTGGTGATGATGTCCTCCATGATGGCACCGTTGGCGGCCCACGCCTTGCAGTGCTTGTGGTAGGTGTCCTTGTGCCAGCCGTACAGGGCGCCGCGGCTCGTCCAGAATGAGCACTCGTTGTACCACGTGGGATCATCTGGGTGCTCCCACCACGTCAGGTGGAGGAAGCCGTCGAGCTTCATGAGGTGGCGCCGCGTGTCGGCGAAGAGGACCTTGAACTTTTCGTATGCGTCGGGGCTGGAGAAGCGCACCCGCTGCATGCTCAGGTAGATGGGCATGGTGGAGGTTCGAGATATAGGATGGGGCGTATGTAATCAAATGACAAGAAGAGAGGCGCCTTGGAGAATTTCAGGCCAGCAAGTACAGCGGAAGACGGTGATTAATGAACAAGAATCAAGAGAGTGTCCTCTGCTTGTAGATAGACGAGCTTTTATGCATCCCATCAACCGCTCATACAACAGGCACACATACATGGATATTTTTGCCTAATTCGTCCATCGATGTTAATCACCATCGGACTCCTCGAGTCCGATGCATCGTAATCGACGTAGATGCTATTGGTCCGTGAAACGGTCCGTCCTGATAAGCAATACCCGTACATCTGTATCAATGTGCGGATGTGCGGATGTGCCATTCCGCCCCCGCATTAGCCCCTTTCTTACCCCGCGTTCTCTCTATCAAAACGGTCCTCGATGGACAAATCAAGGGCTCCCGATTTGTTTTGCCTTTATTGGCTTCCCCGCCAGGCATGTCACCACTCTCTCGCTACTGGAACGATGTCGAGTGGTGGTTATCATGCACCAGCTGCCAGCTGCTGTCCTGGCTGATGGCCCAGTGCATCGTCTCCAGCTCGGCGTTGCTGATGCCCAGATCAGCGGTAGGGAGGTCCTGCCACAGGATCGAGTCATAGCCCTCGGCCGAGGCCTCGACGCCGCCCCCCAAGCCGCCCCCCCCGTCGTCAAAGGCCAAGCAAGGAGGGCCTGGGCTCGAGACCAGCGCGTGGGTCACGCCCCATCTCGTGGCCAGGTTTTGGATGTATCTTATTGCGCGGCTGGCCTGGAAGTGCCACATGCTCTGGATGTCCTGAAGGCTCTCCAGGCAGATTTTAAGTCGATGCCAGGAGAACCGCTGGACGGTGGCATCTGTCGAGCTGGCAAGGAGGAGGTGTATCGTGGCGGCCCTCACGGTGAAGTAGATGACGACCGGTGGCGAGTCGGTCAGCTTGTGGAATTCCCGGAATCGAGAGAGGAGGACGGTGTGCGACGTGGCCGCCTCGGTCATCTCCTGGAGGATCTCATCCTGCTCACTGCCGCCGCGGCCGAGATACGGTAGATTTAGCGTGATGGGCGAGGTGTCAAAAGCCATCTGGAGAAAGTACAGGAATGGGTGATGAGCCACGCGGTCAGGGCCCAATTTGACGCGAGGATCGATGAGGCCTCGGAGATTCGCGATGGCTTGCTTGCAGTCAAGACGCAGTGTCTGTCGTTCAGACTCGGGCATGGTCGCGAACCGAGGTGTGTAGATGATGTTCATGTAATAGCCATGTAGCCTCCACAGAGCCCATAGATGATCGAAGTAGAGATTCTCAATGGTGACGGGCGTGCCTGGGATAAAAGTCGTGGAGAAGCGCGGAATCTGTATATTGTGCCGCCAGGGGATGGAGGACATGCGTCCCAGCAGGGCAGCACAGATTCGGTCCACGGCAGAAAAGGCCCAGAAGGCTGTCAGCTTCTCGCTAAAGTTGCTGCTTTGCTGCTCCTTCTCAATTGTCTCAAGCGACCAGTCAAAGACACCGAGCTGCTGGAGTAATGCCGCGGCCATGCAGTTGAACATCCACGTGCGGGTAGGATTCCCTCCAACTGTGAGCTCGCGCCAGACGAGGATGGTTAATGCGCGGACGGCAACGAGGGTCGCTGTAGGCGTGGTGCAGGCTCTCGTCACCATCCTCTCGGCGCACTGAACCAGCTCATCCCCGATGCGATGCTCCCGCGTGACGATGGTCGAGGCGCTGATGATGGCGACCAGCAGGAGCAGGCTGTGGTAGGGTTGGTCGAGGGAACACGAGAGCCCCGACAGATATTCACCGTCGATGAGGCATTCGAAGCGGTTGATGCGATCAGAGAAGTGCTGGAATGCCCTCTGGCGAAACTCGTAGTCGTGGAGCCTCGAAGGCCACGCTGGGACCATGTCCAGGTTGGATGAGGCGGCGGGCTCTGGGTCGAGACGGGGTTCCAGCTGATAGATGCTGGCCGAGCCCAAGCCTCCAGGGTCTATCCGGCGATGCGTCAGTTGACTAATCTCCTGGGCTGGGTGTGAAGTCCAGTCGAGTCCGTGGCCGTCAGCATGAGAGTCTGGAGCATGTGGCGGGTTCGGCATGCGTAGTCTTCTCGCTGTTTGGTCTGAAGGTCCGGCCAGCGACTCGACAAGCGACTTGAGGCGCGTAATCTCCGAATGCAGCTGATCGGTGCGGTCCCTACGAACAGTGAGTTTAAAAGAAGTGAGTGTCCATTCCAGGTGGTGAACATACCTGTGAGACAAGGGCGGACGCCTCGAGCCGTATACACAACATTTGGAACGGCGGCGGCACAGATTGCACACGGGCCGGCCACCATCGCACTGGAGACATCAGAGTCAGGTTCGAATTCATCAATCTGCCATGGAGGATAGGGGGTTAGTGCCAGACCTTCCGCTTGCCCTGGCGACATGGATCACACGCAATTTCAATTCGACGGCCGTTACAACTCATGATGCAGACAGTGATGGACTGTACTTTTCAACATCATGCCGAGAAAGCGGGGGAGACAGATCCTAGATGGTAGTGACATTCTGATGATTAGATCTTTATCTCTTTCTCCTCATCCTCCTCATCTGACTTATCATTGAACTAAACCGCATCCAGCTATGGCACTCCGTGTATCCCAGTAGCATAAATCTTTAGTGCTTCAAGACATGATTCATTACGACTTGGTATTCAATAACTTCCACCTCTAATCATAGAGGGTGTGGCATCCATATCAGTTCAGAAGCAGTTGATAGCAATTCTGCCTAAAAGCTCTGCCACGCTACCTGACATTATTGAAAGATCTATGAATGGGTATGAACACATTTCTCTAGCAGGAGCTTATTAGCTACCGATATGTAGCCTCTCGATGAGGTTGCTTGCATCAGCGCCATGCTCGATGAGCAGCTTCACCAGCTCTTCATGGCCTCTAGAAGAAGCCGCCTGGAGTGCATTGTCAAATTTCCCGCCCTGTGCATTGACATCAGCTCCATGGCTGATCAGCAGCTTCACTAGCTCTTTATGGCCGTTTATCACAGCCACTTGGAGGGCGTTGCCACACTCTCCGCCTTGGGCGTTGGCATCAGCACCGTCGTTGATCAACAGCTTCGCTAGATCATCGTGGCGCCCGATCAAAGCTGCCTGGAGAGCGCTGCCCAGTGCTCCGCCTTGGGAGTTGACATCGGCGCCATGGCTGATGAGCAGTTCCACGAGCTGCCCGTAACCTCTCCAGGAAGCCACCTGGAGGGCGTTGCCATATATTCCACCTTGGGCATCGATGTCGGCGCCGCTCTCGATGAGTAGCTTCAATGACTGCTCGTGACCTTCCTGGGAAGCCGCTAGGAGGGCACTGCCGTATGCTCCGCCTTGAGCATTGACGTCGGCGCCGTTGTCGATGAGGAGTTTCATCACCAGCTCGTGGCCCTTGCAGGAAGCCGCTTGAAGGGCGCTGCCATATCCTCCGCCCGGGCAGTTGACATCGGCACCCTTGTCAATGAACAGCTTCACCAGCGACTCATGGCCTGCCAGTGAAGCCGTCTGCAGAGCGACACCATCGTTCAAGTCAGCGCCTTGATTCAACAGCAACTCGGCGATGAGGTAGTGGCCTCCTTCTGCTGCCCAGACCAACCCTTCTTGGATTCGACTTTGGATTCGAATTTGGCTAGTGTTGGTGCTTGCCATTGTGCTTAAGATCGCCCGTGCTGTATTCTGCTGTCCATACCTGGCAGCCCATGTCAAGGCTGAGCCATCAGAATACTCGACGTTGTGGTTATAGAGGCGGGGATTGAACAGTCCAAAAAGGTAGCGATTGGTCCGGGCAATAGAGTTCATGTCATTTTCTGATACGAGGTGCTCAAACGCAGCACAGAGCAATTCCTCGGGCAGATCAAGCAAAGATACCATGCTAACCAACGGCCACGTTTTTAGTTTTTTCGTGATGCGGATTGAGAAGGACCAATCTTGAGGGAGTGAGACTCGGTGGCGATCACGTCGTATGTAAATTGCATTGCACTCAGGAGGCTACCCGTATAATCTTCGTATTGATTACTCCCGTTTACAAGAAAGACCCACTGCCCTCGGTCTATCCTTAATTTCTGTTCCCATCTAGTTGAAATCGAGAAAGAGCTGACACGCAAATGGACCAGATATTGTAGTCCTGTGGGTCAACATCATTATCGACGCTCCCAGTTGGTTCAAAGACCTTCTACTAACATTAGGGCTTCCCACAATATGTCACTGGTGCTTTACTGCGATTTCTTATGCTTGTTAAGTCCCTGTGGTGGCCTGCATAAACGATTGCCTTACATGGGCAGCTACACTACTTGACTGAATCCTTCTGCTTCCGCTGCAATCCACGCAAAGCCTTGCGGATCTAACGGTGATCTGAGTAATTTTTCTTCCATATGGCTGTACCTTTCTTCTAACCTAATTTGAGCCTTAGTCTAGCGTAGCTTAATTTTGCCTTCCGTATTCATTGTGCTGAGATGCTATGTCTGGAATTTCTTATTGTTGGTGTGAGTTAAGCTACTCTCACTCTCGCCTGTATATGGCCACGAGGTCTTTCATTCCAACCTACTCCAATTCACTGGGTGTTTTCTCCCCAGAAGAAACTCTGACTTGGATACGTAAATCTTGGTACAAAAGTATGTATATTCATCTTCGATTCACTCGCTGGTATCTAACTTTTGTGGTTTTGGCGTAATTGAACCTAACCAAGCCCCAAACTTTCTTGTTTTTCGTGTTGTGCTTTTTTTGTGGGCAAAAGAAGCTCGGTACTCTCCCATAAAAGGGATATATAGGTGTGTCGCTTCCGCTCTGTTAATATACTGTAAGCTTGCCTAAGTGCCCTCGACTCGTTGCTACTTATGTTGAACAATGATGATGAGTTGGTAAATTTTCTGCTTGACAGAATGAGACTTCACCTGAGTTCTTCTTTCCAGATTGGCCCTCGTATATTGACAGTAATGATCGTACTAATGGCTCTCTGTCGGCAGGACTCCCGACCAGTCGAGTTGTCTGTTCGAAAGCTGGGTAGCTTCTGTGGCCATCTCTTCTCCTCTTCTCCCCTTCTCTCTTGACCATATTTCTTTCTTTATTCTCATCAGTTTTCCCTTTTCACTATGTTTCTTTTTTTCTTACTCGGAAATGACAATTACAAGCTCGAAGATGGCTCTATCATTGGGTAAGAAGTCATGAATAATATGAAGAGACGCATTGAAAACACGTGGCAAAACCCAGTAATTTTGGTAAGAAAAGGCTACTGCGCCCATGATTACCTCAGATTGCCTTGTAGATAGCCTCGCAGGCGGCCTCCAAGGGTAAACGGGAGGCTTAGTTTGCACAGCCACATCTCGAGCAAGGCGTCCAAGCGTACGTAAGATATAACTCCCAGGCAATCTACACTCGTGGAATAAATGAATTCTATTTTGAAGTTGACAATTCTACGGGTGTTAATCATTCCTTTTATCCAACAAATCTTTGAATGTTCGTGGAAAAAGCCGTCAGAGTGCAGCACTAACCCGCCAAGTCAGCCGAACAAGCTCAACAATGAGCAAACAATCTCGCAAATCATGTGGCCTAAAGTCTGAACGCTCTCACGATGAAATAAAGGATATATTCCCCGATGCTGAGACACAAGAGGGATTTGCCCTGTTCAGGTTGCCCTTGGAAACACGCTGGACGATCTACGAATTGATCTTTAGCGAGGTTGAGGTGCCCGAGGGAAGATACATGAACCACATCGGCGAAAAGGACTTTGAAGATACATCATTGAAATCGTCTGCCTATGTCAATAAAGTTGGGAAGAAGATGCCCTACTGGCTCCGGCCTGATTGTACGACACGCACGATGATCTGGACAGACTTCCTGCAGACTTGCAAGCGGGTATACAACGAAGCCGGCTTGTTTCCGGTAAGCATCAACAAGCACAAGTGCTACCAGATCCATGGGCCTGGTGAAGACCCTGGCCAATATCTGGAAAGATTTACATCGCGCCAGCTCACTCAGGTGCGCCGTCTACACTTCTATACACAGCAGCACACGTTGGATGATAGCGCGATCCCCTTGAGAAAACAGCTGAAGATGGCGTCAGTGGCGTTGGAACATCTGGTTATTACCATCCGGAACTGCTCGAGGCGTCCGCCAGGGCGAAGTGACCCCTCGGCAATCCGCGAGCCACTTCAAGTCAATCCATATCGTCGAGGCTTGGCTTCTTGGCACGATATGACGGAGGATATGGAGTCAATGGAGAATGGTGACAACTTGCTGATGCTCAAATCCGGATGGGCAGGCATTTTCGCCCAATTCCATAATCTGAAGACTTTGACAATAGAGTTTGAACATCACGAGGGCTTCGAGGATGAGCTTGGGAGACTCGCTCAGTGGGCTCAGAAGTGGCGGTTTCCCCTCCAGGAAGGCCATGTCTTAGTACCCGATTTTGCAGACAGACGGACCTGGCGAGGACTCAAGGTACATGACTCTACGGTTTGTCGGGATTGTGGACTGCTCAGGCCAAGTCAAGCCAGAGCAAGGGTGAATTGTCAAGGATGCCAATGGCGGAGGCGAGGGAAGGGGCCTCGGATGATCAACTGGAAGGTTCGATGGGTGAAGAAAGAAGCAAGTCTCTTCAAGGATATGACAGTGAAGCCCCGCAGAGTAAAGGCTGCCAGCGCCATGTCGAGAGAATTGATCGGGCTGGGCTATCAACCACCGTCGAGCACATATCGAAGTCCTTCACCCCCTTTAGCTCCACCTCTACTTGGCTGGGGAATTTTCTAATGTTCTGGGCGTACATAGGAAGTGATTTTAATGAGAATCTTATTGCGGACACTGTGAGCTAGATAATGAGACAAAGAAACAGTTATCAAAGTTCCGAGGTAGAGAATATTAGTGGTTCAAACCCATCTGTTTAGTCCCATCGGTTTCAAGTTGGGAGGTTTGGGTTACACAGCTTTTGAAACTACTTATAACGAACGTGTTACATTCCTACAGCATGCGTTCAGAGGCAAATGAACCAACTCCAGCACCTGGTAATCATAATTTACTTCAGACATTGTTTTGCGCGAAGAAAAGAAAGGCTGCCAAGCTGAAACTTGGTCCACGAGCACTTGTGTTACAAAGGGTATGGAAATGGGGGAGCGCAACAAAGCCCAATGGTTCTGGCAGCATTTTCACTTGTTTCTGCCATTTTAAAACAGCAATGTTGGTAACACACGAGCATATAATATTTCAAATTTGTCTCTAGAATCTATGATTTGTCAAAAGTCTTGCTGTTTGATGCAAAAGCATCTACCGGTGTAACAACCGGTCTAATGGCGACCTCCTTCTTGGCCACGAAGTGTTCCAAAACAGTTGCTATCCAACAGGAGGAAAACCTATAAAATCTAGCGCGCCTGTTTGATATGAAGTTTGCTGTCGGCATCATCATCTATCCTCCTAAGTTTCCCGGCTTCAATTCCGATCGTTACCATGGATCCTTGCCATCTCGTTCCGTACGACATCACTCACGATGCACTCCCTATACAGAAGGAGCTTTTGAATGCCCGCATCGAGAGCTATCTTATCCAGCACCTGCCTTTAGAACTCACTCCCGAACCTGTTGTGGGAGATGATACAAGGGATCGCCTGGCTATAATGATCGACCTCGTCCACAGCGTTGTATCCGCTGATGCCCGTCTAGACGGCGTTAAAAGAGTGCGCATAGACATTCTGAAAAATGCTTGCCTTCGCTGTTACGGATCTGAAGACCAAGACCGCTATGTAAGGTTCCTTGAGGATCCTGCTGATTATTGGTATTGCTCGCGGACTAGATATCCTCAGGGAAGCAAGACGTTTGGCGATGTGGTCAGCGCTTTTGAGAAATCCAACATCCTAGATTTCTCGTTTGGACTCATCAAAGGAACAGGATATGGGATTGTGTGAGTTTAAGACTTCTTGTTGGAAAATGAGTTTAAAGTTGCTAACCGACTCTAAGTCTTCAATCTCTTTATCGACTGGTTAGACATGGGGAGATGATTGAAAGAGGCGCTAAGAGTTTTTTGAGGGGCCCATCAATGCATGAAGATGCATCGGGTCATATATGTCGCATCGTGACAGCGGCCGACATGGACAAGGCCTTGGCTCGGGGCTTCTTGAATTTAGCAAAGTCTCCAAGTGTCCCTCTTATTTGAATAGAAAAGTTTGGCAAGTACATACGTCGGGAAAAGGAATCACACATATTGATGAAGATTACAAGACCTCTAAGTATTTTGAGCATCTCGAATTTCACGCCTTCTCAGCCTTTGAAGTCGTGGTGATCAAAAGACTTGGTTTCTACGTCGATCAACACATCGGGAAAGCTGGAAATGGACAATCATCTAGGAATACTTCTAGCAAAAGGTTTCTCGTTTTTTTTTTTAAAAAAAAATCTAAGTTAAAAGGTTCGCTTTTCAGCATGGCGACAATATATATTATATTCTTACAACTTCTTCACGTACACATTGAGGCCCCCTTCCATTGGCAGTGTCAAATGATTCCGACTGACCTTCTCACCCTCATACGCAGGCGAAAAGTTGAACAAGGAGACCAGTTCCAGAATCACCTGCACAGCAACCATTTCGGCCATCTTTTTACCCAGACAAAGCCGCGGTCCGCCCTGAAAGACTGGAAACTCAGCAGCTTCCCGGTATCGCATCCGTCCGTCAACAAGCCATCTCTCTGGGCGAAACTCAGCAGCATCCTCTCCCCAGGTGTCTTTTGAACGATTCATTGCCCAAGTGCACCAAACCACAATTGATTTATTGGGAAGCAAAGTTCCGTCAGGTAGTAGAACATCGGACTGCGCCTGTTTGATCTCAAATGGAATGGGGGGGTATAGTCGGATTGTTTCATAGAACACCGCAGTAATGTAGGCGACCGCCTCTTGGGAAGGTTCGCCGTGAGACGACTGCGATGGTGAATGGCGGGAAGAAGTCTCAATTAGCTCTCTGATTTTGCGCACCACACGAGGATGCTTCATGAGTAAATAAAAGGTCCAAGATAAAGCCTGGGCGGTGGTATCTCTGCCAGCGGAGAGGAAGTTCAGCGCTGATTCCGCGACTAGGTCATCGCTACCGAGAGCCCTTCGAAGACCTTTCAAGAAACCCTGCGAAGCTCCCCGCAGATCTGCGCTTCCGAAGCACGGGTCAAAGTCTTTCGTTGCAAGAGAATGCGAGACGAGCTGCGCGCCTCGGGTCTTTATAAGCTTCAAAGCTCTTTGGAACCGGGAGCCACTGAAAACTTCCGTGAAGCGCCACAGCGGGTTCTGAAAGCGCTCAGAAACAACACCAGCAGAGTAGTCAAAGGCTTGGGTGAAGCTGTCTTGACTTTGCAGCTCAACGCCATAGACCATCTTGCTAATAAGTTGTGTGGTGATTTCCAGGATACTGGCATCCAAATCAACCGTCTCCGCAGTATCAGCCTTTTTAGTAAGGTGCTGGATAGTCTTCCCTAGGATGGCAGGAAGCTCATGGCTGGTGACGATGTTCATGTTTGCGCCAGCGAGTAGCTGTACGCCAACCTTTCTCTGCCTCTTCCATTGGTCGCCATCAGAATTGACGATTCCATTTCCAAACAGATCGTTCAATCTTGCTTTGAAGAATGCGCCTTTTTGAAATATGGGCTCATTCTTGAAGACAAAATCGAGATTCGCAGGGTCGGAGATGATGACACCCGGGGGTAAAGAGGGCACAGTAATGAGGAGTGTTTCACGGCCGTGTCGATGGATGCACTTGGTAAACCAGTCAAACAGCTTCTGGCGAGGCTGGATAAATTTGATGCCGTTTCCGAGGAATGGTAGCGTGTCGGGGGCTTTCCTGCTGAAATGTAAGTTTTTGTCTTTTCTGCGAGGTTGTTCTAGGTGTTGGAGCTCGTGGTTAACCTGAGTGCAATCCCGTGGCGAGTAATTTTTGGGGCATGAATCCAGCTGGATAATTTCTCGCTAATAAACAAGATAATGATGAACACGGCAGATAATGCCAAATGATGCGATAAATCCATCTCGATGGTGGGAAATGCCGATGCAGGTCTGCAATGCAATGCCCAAGCCTTGACTAGACGTAGGGTAGGTAGGTGTTAACCCGCGAACTGTGCCGGATGGCAGGAGGGTGAGCTGTGGTGGAAGAAATGGTGTTTTAGTGGATGATGCGGCTATTAATGCCACTTCACGGCTCAATGAATTGATGTTATAGGGCAAACGCGCCCTGGATGTTGTCGGTGAATCAGAGCTTGTCTCAGTTGAGTGGAAGGACGAGATGAAGTCATCATTACATGTCCGTCACACCCCAGCCCCCTAATCACCATTAGGCTGGTTTCTGGGGCGCAGTTATCCGCCGCCGTTCAGTGGAATAATTGCTGACGACTACTGATAACGGAAAGGTGAGACGGGCGCTTGATGCCCGCAGTGGCCCATTATTTCGCCCTTGTGGGCGGCCGACGGGAGCACGCGAATACGCGTAAAGCTGGTGTGGACCTATGTACATTTGCATCACTGCCTTTTCCATCTTCGTCTTGGTTGCCATACTGACTTTGCGAATACGAAATAGCGACAAAGCCTCGCTATTGTAATGTCTCCAATTCAATTGTCACCCACCCTACTTCCACTGCTCGCCGTGTACCGAATTAATTAATCAAGATTTTGCTGTCAGACCACATCCGGCTACACCTGTGAATCATCCTCCAGGCGCTAACGCCATGTTTCTAGGGGCCTGAGGGGCATCAATATCACACCCTATCAAGTTATTCTTGCCCAGAAAACAGATGGAGTTAATTAGTGCTTCTACCTACAAGCAACAATTTTGGTAGGATTCAGTTCCTTTTCTTCGTTACGTAAAAGCGACCCTTAGTGTGTTCAGAGGTGATAGCCAGAGGTGGTGGTTTGATAGAATACTTCTGGATTAATTCTAATGATTCTAGACTGTTATTTTTACGTAGCTATAAAAAATGAATGAAATAAAATGAGAGCAAAACGCCTATCCTAAAGGCGTCAAAGCACCTCTGAATGGAGTTTGGAGGCCATCCAGTGCCCCGTCTTTTAACCTCCAGACTCCCTTCGTTTCTGACGCCGACAGATACCAGTTCATTCCCTCCGTCAAGCGGTGAAAGACCGAGTGCTCCTCACCCGGGATACTCTCAAAAAGAAACGGCTGCCAAGACACCCCATTGGTTTTCTCGTCTCGTCTCATCTGGCGCTGTCCTTCCTCAACTATGTGTTTTGCTCTAGAAACCCTCGCCCAATCATTCTCGCGCACTCCCTGAATCACATCGTTCCAAGCTCTCCGTGACTCCCATGGGTCTTGATCCTTGACATCTGCAATCTGCAACGATTCTGGATCGTTCTCCTCTGCTTCGACGTCGTATTCCTCAATTTTCTTGCCTGTCTGGCCGTCTTTGACCACCCATCCTTTGGACCAACTTCCAGAGGCTACGTACAGCGGCTTCTCGCGGCCATCATCTTTGTGAAAGACGCGCGCCTCGAAGTAATTCTTCTTCCCACGCAGGAATCCAGCACCTGAAAATGTAATCTCGGAGATGTAGCCGCTGCTGGACACAATCTTGTATGTCCCCCATAGCTCGGGGTACAAGCACGTGGATAAAAACCCGCGCACCTGGGCTGTGGGTAGCGGCAAAAGATGGTCTTCATCGTACTTGTCGATATGAAGGACCGCATGACCCGTCTGGCGAACGTTGAGGCTCCCAGAAAATGTCATCTCCACGCGAGAGTAGCCCTCAGCACGGATACCATGCTCACGACTGGCGACATGGATCGCCGTGATGGGTGGGTGGTGGCTGACTTGCTCTGCTGCCACTTCTGTCGATGCGATGCCAGACTTGTCGGTGTATTTCGCGAAGAAGAGCTCTCCGAGAAATGCATTCAGGGGCTTCTTGATGCTGACATTTGGCCCTCCCGCGATGTAGTATTGATTACGGAGGCCAATAAGGAACATGCGAAGAACCAGGAGACTGCGTTTTTGGGGACTTGATTCAAGTGCTGGGGCAGCGAAGACGGCGGGACGCTCGGCCCAGCAGCGAGGATTTTCGACCACTGAGGATGGGGCGAGGAATGAGGGGGGAGCAGTGATATTTGCAAGGTCTCCTTTGAGTGTTGAGAGTACCTGGAGATAGTTAGTAAAGTCTGCGAGTTTGATCCGGGCGTATCAATCCACGAGAAGTTGACGGCACCCACCTTGACTAACTCCGTGATTCGCATGGGAGACTCCTTGGCCTCCGAACGGGTTAAGACCATCTGCTGTGTGGTCATCATTGGAATGAGAATGTTGAGTTTGATGTAAGAGTATTAAGATAATGGTGAGCTTCTTCTTTTCCATCGTTCGTCCCGGGTTACTTATTGATTGATATGAGCCGCTGCTGGCGATGAGCCTCAAACCATTCTGCCATCATCATCACCAGCTAGCCACATCTCCCCTGGCACCAAAGATAGGGTCGGCCGCCGTGAATTAGTTGGGCGTTTGCAATGCCGTTTGCCGAAGCCACTCACCCACAATTAGGGCTGTGCAAAACCTCCGCGCGGAGAGAGGCCACCGCGTCATCTCCGCACCTCCATTTTATCACACAGCATCGGTCGGCCGCCACAGGGGATGAGGCGGGCTACGAATACGAGCGTCCATTGCCTTCTTTGTGCCTGAAGCATCTTGCTTTGATGATGCATGAAGATACGATATCAGGTAGCCAGTAGTAAGCGACACTCAATAGCGAAACGCTTCTTGCTGCCCTACAATAGTGCTATTTTACGCCTTCGCTAGGTATTAGCAGCCCGGAAGTAGCTGTTTTGACTTGCATTCTCAATAGACTCATACAAAAAAGAAATACGCAAAAACTTGTTAGTTGGAAATGGCTCCCCTGGTTCCGAGAATGCATCTCTTTGAGATTGATGATCAGCCTTGGTAAGTCATACCACATATTATTGACCTCTCGGACAAAAGGAATTGCAAATAATAATGTATTGTGATCACTGCAGGTTCCCACCAGCATTGCGTACATTGTTTCAGGCGGCTCTGACAGTCACCTGGACCCTCCCTCTACCAGTTGTTCAATCAGACCCTCCAGCAAAGATCGTTGCCCAGGTGCTGCTTCAGGAACTGGGTCCCGACATTTCAGACTACAGCTTTGTAGACTTCTGTGCCGGTGCAGGAGGGCCTACACCCTTCATCGAGAATGTCATCAACGCGCATCTGCGGCAGGGAAATGCGCGGACCGTGAATTTCACACTTACAGATCTTCATCCCAACATACAGTACTGGGAGTCTGTTGCTGCCGCCAGCCCGCATCTCTTCTACGAGAGCAGGTCCGTGGATGCCACGAAGGCGCCTAGACACCTCGTGAAGCCAGCAGACGGACGGAAATCAATGCGACTCTTCAACCTAGCCTTTCATCACTTCGATGACTACTTGGCTGCACGGATTCTCAAGGACACGGTAGGGTCTAGCGATGGATTCGCCATATTCGAGCTGCAGGATCGAAGTCTTGCTAGCTTTGTTGCCGTGACGCTGCTCGCCGTCGGCACCTTGGTCCTGGCGCCATACTACGCATTGAAATGGAGGTCGCCTCTCGCTCTGGTTTTCTCTTGGCTGATTCCAATCCTGCCGGCGGCTCTGGCCTGGGATGGCTATGTATCATCTCTACGGACGAGAGAGCCTGAAGAAGTGGAGGCTCTTCTGAGGTCGTGCGGAGCTGATACATCCCGGTGGGAGCTGAGAAGTGGTAGTATTGTTCATCTCTGGCCTGTGGGATATGTCAATTGGACCATATGCAGAAAGGTTTAGTGGCAATCATAATTAAAACAACACTGAGTGAGAGGGAGATGAGTTTAGTATGAGATATTTCACCCATTAATTTATTTAGACCTCATTATCTCTTCCTTGTCCCGTTGCCCTCTCAAGACAGTACTTGGATCCATGATTTTTTGTATTCCACGATACCAACAACTGTGCATCAGGTTTCACTTTGCCTTGTCCTAATAACACCTACAGGTGACCGATTTCACTCCCATTCCGATTTCTAGCCTGGATTACCCTCATGCTCAATCTTTACGCAGAACTTGTCATCAGAACCTGGACCCTTGCATCTCGGTTGGGCATTGATGACATGGAAGCACCCTACCTTTCAACATGCACTGCCTCCCTTCCCGACATGTCGGACACTAGGTAACTTTGGTAGCGCATGTGCCGGGATCGATACGCGTATTGACGCCTCGCTTCATCCCACCATCGTTATGCCACACCTCGTTTTCGGGACATCCCTCGCATCCCACACTAACTCTTGGGTCTTAGTCCTGGATCGCGGCCGCCGCTAGCAACGGTTTTTCAAACCCATCCGGTATTGAGTAGAAGGCATGTCACCGCCGTGCCATGAGCATGGCTATCATCATACCCTGGCATAGTCTAAGCCACACGTTACTACGTGGACCAAGTAGGATGGCGAGCTTCTATGTGGAGTTAGTATGAACAGGGTCGAAGCATATTCCTAAGATCCCAAAAGTGGACTTACTTTCCGCCGCATCAAAGGTGCTAAATAATATTAACACCAGTAAGCAGATGGGCACAACTTGACCAAAACCCCAGCCAAATTCTGAGCCTTCAAGTAACTCTGCATTGGACAACTTAAAATCGATAAGATTAAAAGTATTCCAGCAGGCAAACCCAATATACGCTAACACGACTAGTAGCGACTCCTGATCTCCAAACGACCAAAACGCCAGAAACTGAAAGAAAAACCATGCGATAATAATAGGGATGTAACAGACGAGCTCCAGCAGATAGCTAATAACCCAATGTAATTGACCATATTTCTCGATTGGCCCACTCTTGCATTTGTTGCGATACCATATTTGCAGATGCTGTCTGTTCAACTTGAACGCGTTAGATGCTTTTTGTATCCAACCTCGATCGCGATCTCTCACACTTGAGAGGAAGAAGAGCAGATATATACCATAAGACATGAGTCCTACAACCCAAAGCCACCTTGTTCCGTAGGTAGAGTTATCGTGGCTGAGAAAGCAGCGTCCACTAGAGAATGGATCCCAGCCATTCCTCTCACGCAGGGCAATATAACCGCCGTAAAAGGCCGCGGTAACAACGCTGCAGAATATGGCCAGAGTCCTCACACGGATGTACCAAGGGCTGCCGTTGGCAGAAATGTCCATATAACCACCACGAGCCGCCCAAAAGGAGTTCAATGTCAGGGAATAGTAAGCCATGACGAATTCTTCGTGGTAAAATGATATTGACCGTATTTGAACTAGGGCTGCGATAAGAATTGCCGTGCTGGTGACAATTTGGATGTCACATAAGGAGTCCAGCAATATCTGAGCAAATCTTAAAACGCGACTGCGATCCTTTCGAAGAAAGTTCTCAATTGGACGAAAAGACTTTAAATGATTTCGAGATGATAGTTGTTGTTGAACTTTTTGAAGGAGAGGCCAATGGATCATGGTATCGGGGTTCCGAGGTTCAAGAAATGCCCAGATTTGCTTGAGGAAGATGCAGAATTGCGCAATACTGGCGATAGCGCATGTGTACCATGCCGTTGAGATGAAGCCTATAAGTACCTTCATTCATTAGTTAGCTTGGAGCTGCTTGATTGAAAAGCTAACAACAAAATACTCACACCTATTCCTGCGATGTCAGCGTCTGCAGGGAAGCTTGCATTACAGAGCCAGTTAGGCTCCGAAATAGAGCCATTAATATAAATAACTGAATTATTTCTGTATATATAGTAGTAAGGATTATCGCCAGGGAAGTCGGACGCATTCCAACTCAAAAGCATTGCGTATATAGCTTGCGGAGCATTAATTAATTCCTCAGATTAGCCTTATCTTCCACCAGACTTCAGGGTTGGGCTATTTTAAATATATATTGATTATTTATCAGGTACTCTTACCTGACCACCTGGTATTATCATATGGCTATTCAATACAGCCGTACCACATTAGTGAACGCCAAGGTAGACTATATTGGCTTGGCTGATAGTAATAACAATACGTGGTGATTTCGAATTGGATGATGCGAATTCTATAGTGGAGCTCGGGACTCTTATCAGTGCGGCTGAATTATTAGATAATATTATGTCTCAAATTGACTGTTTGGGTATTATGAGCGTAACCCTTCGTTGTTCAGCTGTCTAGCCATCTAGATAGATTCCAGCTTGTTAGGCTGAGCTGCTTATATAAGCAGGATTCCACTAATAGCTGGCCGACCCCCGCTAACATTTTTCTGAGCCTAACAGATAGGAATAGTTAAGCTCTAAACTTAAGTGTAAGGAAACTCTTGTTTGAATTAAAGAGTAGAGCTAAAATTTCTAGGCTTGTTTATTTCTAGTAGATATATTATAGTAATTATTAATATAGTTTTTATAATACTATTTAAATCTTTATTACTTTTATAAAATAAAAATTAATAAATATAAATAAATTTTAATAAATATAAATAAATTTTTAAATTTTTAATATTTATTAATATATAATCTAATTATATAACTTTTTCTAAAAAATTCTAAAAATATAAAATTAGTTCTAATTTCTAAGAGAAAGGACTAGAGGAGATCATATTAATAGAAATATACTGAAGCTTTAAAATACAGTAAAAGACTACTTAAGGTGTTAGACAACCATTAAAAACCATCGCTGGGGACCTTCTGGCAACTTGGGCACGCAGATTCACGCGAGAAACCCTGCCTCCTCTCCATCAACACATCCAATCTTCCATCATCATCATGTCCACAGTCGTTATTCTCGGTGCCGGTTACTCTGGAATCGGCATCGCTCACAAGCTCCTCAAGTATACGCTGCCCAAGGTCAAGGGTTTGAAAGTCATTCTGGTCTCGCTGTCCACGCATCACTTCTGGAACCTGGGCTCAGTGCGGCGTGTCATTCCCGGGGAAGTTCGAGATGATCAAATCTTCCGCGAGATCGCACCTGGCTTCGAGCAGTACCCAAAAGGGGCTTTTGAATTTGTTGTTGGTATGGCGACTGGATTCGACCCGGCGAGCAATAAAGCACAAGTCAATATCGGCGACGAGACAAGAGACATCGAGTATTCTCATCTCGTTGTAGCCACGGGCGCATCTTACCCAGCAAAGCTACCTTTCACAACCATTGGACCCCATGATGAAATGCTTGACTCTTGGAGCGAGCTGCATGCCAAAGTTGAGCAGGCAGAATCTATTGTCATCTCTGGCGCCGGCCCAACTGGCATTGAGACAGCTGCCGAGCTCGCTTCCCATCTCGGTAGCTCCAAAACCATCACTGTCATTCTCGAGGGCGACAACCCTCTCCGTGGTTTCATGCCGCAAGTTGGGAAGATTGCAGCCAATGACCTCGTCGGTTTTGGCGCGAAGCTGGTTCGCAATGCACGCGCTGTCAATTCTACCAAAACTGACAGCGGTAAGACCGTCGTGGAGCTTTCCAACAGCAGCACCATCGAGGCAGATCTGTACCTCCCCTTGTACGGAAGCCGGCCCAACACGCAATTCGTGCCGTCTCATCTCCTCGATGATCGCGGGAATCTCAAACTGGAAGCCAATCTAAGGGTTCAAGGCCTCCACAATGTCTGGGGAGTAGGTGACGTTGGCAATCTGGAGAGCAAGCAGCTCATATACGCCGAGAGGCAAGCCCTGCACCTTGGCAGCAATCTACACGCTGCGCTCACGGGAGGCAATGTGAAACCGCTTCCATCAACGGTTACTCCTCAAGTCTTTGTTACACTGGGGAAGAACAAAGGAACCGGGCAGTATGGATGGTTCAGGGTTCCAGGCTTTGGGATCACCTCTACAAAGGGGAAAGATTTCTTCATGAGCAAGGGCGATGGTCTCATAGCCGGAAAGAATATTGTTCGATCTCCCATTTGAATAATTTTATAGAATTTCATAGATTTTGAATTTATATTTGGAGGAATCTAGATATTGGCAAGTTTGCATTATGGACTTAGTCATGTACTAGAATTACAGATCGCTACCGAGCCCTCGACCTAGTGAATTGCCTAGCACATTGACTCCAGACGCTACAAACAACATGAATAATAGTGCATGAATAGCAAAGTGAGCTGGCGGTCCTCCCAAAGTTTTCGTTCCAACCTGGCCTTTTTCCTTGCGTTGGAACAGCCTCGAAGCAGCTCGGTATATTGGCCAGAGGTGCCAAAATGCAAAGGCAAGGGCCATTACACCAAAGGCTCGATCAGCCTCTGACTTGCAGAGAAGGGTCAGGCTTGTGAGACTAGTAAATAAGAGACAGCCTCCGTAGCATTGGAGCACCAGGCGCATGTCATCAGAGTGACATGATATCTGCTGCTGCGGATAGAAGATGAAGGTCAAGGCCGCAACGGTCTCTACCACTGTGTGTAGGAGAAACGGAAGCTTGATGACAGGATTCATGGCTTTGGTCCAGCTGGCGGTGAGGGGTTTGAGGAAGGATTCGATCGTGAACTTGCACCAGCTTCATTGGGCAGTGTATTCTTGAGGTCGGAGGATGGAATACTGGATTCTCAAGCACGGCTTGGCAGTTTCTGGCTCAGAACGGAAAAGATGGACGTGAGTCTTCCCAATTTGTCAGCGAGGGATGAGATAGCCCAAAGTCCCTGAGCCATATGGTGATGTGGCAGGATTACATCAAGGAAGAGATGCCTTTTGCCCTTTCAGGTAGTGTGTCAGCACACTAAAACACACGTATTCGGCTCGGCTAGATCGATGGGAACAGCAGGGATGGATGTGGGGAGAGGCGGCCGCCGTGCCAAGACTGAGTTCAACACCATATCACCATCTCCACCCCGACGGCGGGCTCAAGGGCTGTCACTAATTGTATGGCGATTTGACAGTGGCGGAAACGTTGTTGCCGGACAAGGTCCCGTGTCCGCCTTCTGGAGAGGGTCAAGATGCGCCGTCTAAGATGGCATCTGTCTGGTCTGAGATTGCATAGCCTCAATCATGTAGGGCTATGCCACAAGTCTGCGTTGCAATGGTGGCGGGCGTCGACTACCTGGGAGTCTGGGACTTGTCTGGTGATGGGCAAGTCTAGCTTACATTGTTCTGTGTTCCATCTTCCTTGTTGTGAATGCTTCGTCCTTTAAGGATATATATTCCGGGCCTCTCTTCGCTTTTCAGATTTCACAAACAAGCATCGATCTTCTCACCAGAATTCCCCCCATTACTCAGTCCTTGAACAAACTATCGACCATCAGTCATCATCATGGCTCCTGTAGACAACACATTTGGGGAGCTAGGGCTTTCTATCGTTGGAGTTGGTGTCCAATACCCACGCTTCAATCTCGCACCCGATGACCTAGAAACATTGAGTAAAAGATTTTATCCAGACACCCCGTCGTAAGTTCTTGATCTGCGTCTTCATCGGGACAATGATCTGAATAGGACTGACTGTAACCTTCAAAGCATGAACAAAGTTCTGTCGATCAACCGATTCACCGGAATCGAGAACAGGTCTTCTATCGGGACAATTGATCACCCACTAGTCAATCAAGGGACTGCCCCTTCTGTTTCGCAGCTGCATGAGGTGTTTGTCAATGATGGAGTCCCTCTCGCCATCACTGCAGCGCAGAAAGCCATTGAGGAGTCACGCATCCGACTGGCGGACATTACACACGTCGTATCAACAACATGCACCAACAACGCGAACCCGGGTTTCGATAACCTAGTGGTGGCCGGCCTTGGCATCAAACAGCAAGTCGAGAAGGTGCTTCTACAGGGAGTAGGATGTAGCGGAGGGCTTGCTATTCTCAGAACTGCCTCCAACCTGGCCCTAGGCCGCACCGCCCAGCGCAAACCTGCTCGCATCCTATGTGTGGCACTGGAACTATGTACCCCTCTGGTGCGTAGCGAGTTTGACAGTATAAACGAGCTGCAGGAGGTGAGGATCGGCCCGGCGCTCTTCTCAGACTGCGCCAGCGCTGTGATCATCAGCAATGATATTGGAGGCCATGTAGAGCCAATCTATGATGTTATTGGATGGGATCATAGGGTTATCCCTGGCACTGCCGAGCATCTCAGATTTGATTCTGATCCACTTGGTAAGTATTATCCCTTGCTAAGACTTCAAAAAGGCCGACTTACTGACACTTTGTCTGCCAGGCTGGAAAGTGGTTCTTACTCCTGATGTGCCAAAGGTGGCTTGTGCCGCCGTCCCTGAAGCATTTTCAGACATACTGGCCTCTGTTCCATCCATTCCTCGCTCTCTGCGCAATGCGGGTGACTTTGACTGGGCATTACATCCAGGCGGTGCAACTATTCTGACGGGAACAGAAAAGGAGATGAACATCACACCATACCACTTGCGCGCCAGCTACGACACGTACATGAAGCATGGGAATTCAAGCTCTGCGACCATATTTAGCGTTCTGAATCGCCTACGAGCGAAAGACATGGGTGATATAGCTCCCTCAGGGGGCCCTCGTGAGTTTGTCATGGCTTGCGCGTTTGGACCAGGAGTTTCGGTCGAAATGTGCGCGCTGAGGAGAAGTCAAAATGCCCCGCGGGTTGCCGACTGTTTGACACCGCCTCTTGATGAGCCTGATTTGGATTGATCTGTTGAGTGCTTGATGAGAAATGACAGTTGACCGCGAATTTTGAAACAATTTCACATATAGTAATAGATAGCAATGATAGAAATGGGTAGTAAATTGATTTCTGTCTTTCCCTTTTTTTTTTTTTGGAATTCGTTATATAGCTCTACTTTCCTTTGCCGTGAATTTAATCAGCCACTTCTTAACTAGACCGAGTTGACGAAGCCTAAGGCTAATACGAGCGATCCAAAGCATGCTGGTTATCCAAACGCAGTCCGGTTCAGTCGGAGCAGGGAGCTCGGTGAGGGAGGGCACAATAAATAGTCATCTGATGAGGGTGATTTCGTGACGGCGAGTAAGTCATCATTATGAAGGCTTACAGAGTTGACTGTCTACATGGCTACAACCTTAAGCTAGTGGAGCCTATTTTGACTCTTCGTATTCAACATGCTAAGATGGCCTGGCATCTTTCATTTCTGTTTTTACTTTGCCTCAAACTCTCACAGTAATTATGTAGTCACATGTTACAGCGTGGTATCACCTAACCAGAATTATCTCTTGTGAAACTCTGATCCGTTGATGGCTGGTGAGTGAGCATTGTTGAGGATGCCAGCCCTCAAGATTACTTGGCTTAAACTGGACAGAAATTTGTAGCCTGCGCAACGGATGTAAAATGATAAGCAGTCTCAAGAATACAACAACATGTTAACACATCCATAAGATCTAGAGCTTGGAAGGTTTCCAAACAGGAGAACGCTTCTGCTCAAAGGCCCTCAGACCTTCACGTATGTTTTCACCACGCTCCAGCAATGAGAAATATATCCGGTGCCATTCTTCGGTCGCCTGCTCAACATCTGCCGTCTCCCAGGCTTGCCGCAAGCCGGCTCGCGCACAAATAACGCCATCCGGACTATTTTCTGCAATCACCGATGCATACCGTAGAGCCTCATCAACAACTTCACGCTCGGGAACCACCTTATTGATAATACCCCATCCGTGCATCTCCTGTGATGTTAACCGCCTTCCTGTCAAGACAATTTCTGAAGCAATCTGCATCCCAGCGGTGTGGACTATGCGTGTCAGAACGCCTCCAGTAGGAGCAAGTCCACGCTTGACTTCGGGAAGGCCAAAGATAGCTGTGTCTGCCGCAACGACGAGGTCACAATTAACCGCGAACTCGCATCCGCCTCCGAATGCAAATCCATTGACTGCAGCAATGATAGGTTTCTTCCCCTTGCGTCGTGTAAATGGGATGCGACCTTTCTGAAGCCCGAAGCGCTCCCCTTTGTTCCCCTCCAAAGTACGTCGCCATTCTTTGAGATCAGCACCGGCGGTGAAAGCCCTCCCGGTGCCAGTAACGATCATGACACGGAGAGTTGGCTCATCGTCATACCAATCTAGTGTTGAGTCGAGCTCCCGCAGGGCATCTGAGGAGAGCGCATTTAGGGCCGAAGGGCGGTCCATTCGAGCCAAGAGAACATGCTCCCTAGGAATCGAGAGCTTTAGAAAGCTCAGGCCCTGGGGTGGCTGTGTGTCTGTTGGGAGTGTTGCTGACATGGCTTAGGCTGTGCCATAGTGCCGGTATCAAAGCGAGATAGATGTGTGCAAGACTTTTGTTATTGTTGGCCCGGGTAAACGGGCCCCGCTACCTCTTTTCCCGAGGTTTACATGGTTACCAGAGATTATCTGCTCACATTGCGATTGGTCCGGAGAGTCTGACTCGACTCTGTCGAGTCAGTGTGGGGTAATGCTGAACTGTGTGGATCAACCTCCACCAACATCGAATAACCTGGGGAATGACTATACCGCAGTCGATGAACCTGTGTGCCAGTATTCCCCGTAGCATGAGTCGTCCCATGCTCTGCCTGCTTGCAGATGGTCTTGGCTAAAGTCTCGTGATCGCTCTGGGCCCATCTGATCATTCCCGGTTTCCTTTAGGAATTACCCCCTTTTATGGTCTTTCAGTTGACACGAGATCGCTCGGATTTGTGCTGTGCTCGACAAAAAGCTGGCCATCTCCATCAAAACAACACAATCGGCACATGGTATTTTCCAATCCCAGTCCTTGCTATCATGGGACTCACCCACGACCAACCATCACCGGAAGCTGCCGTGATCGGCACCAGACAACTCCCCCGTCCCAATCGCCAAAGAGCCTCCGTCGCGTGTCTTCACTGCCGCAACCGAAAGATACGATGCGATGTCTCTCGTCGAGGTTACCCCTGCGCCAACTGTCGCCTTGACGATACGGAGTGTGAGGTTGTGGGCCGCTCATCATCTAGGTATGCTTTTATCGGTGCCGTGGATTTGTTCCATAATCATCACTAATGAATAAAATGCAAAGGGCATCGAAGCGACGAAAAGATAGCTTGGTTACTTCATTGGACGAGGATCCTCCAACAGCTGACACGCCCTCTACTAACTATCCCACGGACGCTCTCAATGCTATGCCGATTATTTGGGAATCCTCTTCCCCGACAGAGACCTTAGCACGCGACGAAACGGCAACTCTAATCGATGTTTTACCATCATGCGAGGCGAATATGCAAGATTTGGGGGCCCTCCCGAGGAGTGTGGTATCATCTGCGGCGATGGCAACCACAACACAATTTCGACGTCCGAGTGATGCGCGGAGGAAAGAAGGGCGCAGTGATGTGTTATATACGTATCATCCATTCCTCAGCCGTAATGACCTGTCTCATCTCTCCCCCAGAGATTTAAATCTCCTAGAATCGCAGTCCTGTCTGCGGGTGCCAACTCGTCCGATCCTCCACGAGTTCATCCGGCAATATTTCTTATATATCCACCCTCTTCTGCCCATGATGGATGAGGCTCGCTTTTGGAGAATTTATAGAGGGGAGGATGGCCCAAAAGAGTATATTTCTCTTTTGCTCATCCAAGCGATGCTCTTTGTTTCATGCAACGTACGTCACATCTTGTTATTCCTTCATTGGCAACCGGATCACTGACGGCGACCAGTATGTATCACCTGAAATGGTCCAGTCCTTGGGCTTCTCTTCAAACAGATCTGCCCGAGCAGAATTCTACCGGCGGGCGAAGGTAGTACCCCCACACTTCTTACACATATTGAAATACATCCGCCGTTGATGCTAACACCTTCTTAGATCTTATACGATATGAATTCCGAACTGTCTTCGTTTACAATTAGCCAGGCCGCCTTACTCCTGACCTCCTGGACGCCGCCCGCGAATCCAAGAGGTATGAAGCCCAACACTCAGTGGCTCTCCATAGCGATAGAGCATGCTAGAGCCGAGGGGGCACATCTCTACGGACAGCAACGGGGTCTAAGCTCTGAGGGCTCTAGCGCACATCAAGCCCTGGCGAAAAGGATATGGTGGTGTTGTATCATTCGCGACCGGATTCTATCTCTTGGTGTGCGGCGAAGGATTCAAATTGACCGCGAAAGTTTCGACTTCGACTCGAACAGGCGCCTAAACCATTCCGACCTAGCTGGTGAAGTAGACGGATCAGGAGTCTACTGCAAGAAAGCCAAGATTTCATTGATACGAATCCTGCTGCGAATCGTAGACCTCTGCGTCTCGCTGACGGATCTACTCAACCTCGCCCACCGCCTTGAATTCTCAAGAGGTGGAGACAGCGAACAATGGCTTCCCTATCTGCAGCAGGTCAGGACAGTGAAGGAAGCCCTGAGAACTTGGCACGAAGTGACAAAGTCTGAGTTTTCCTGCTCCCTGGAGCAACTGAGAAGCGCCAGCAAGTATGATGAACAATGCAAGGCCGTGGCAGTTCAACTTCATGTGATGTACATGTATTATCAGTAAGTCACGCAGCACACGTTGATGAGAAGGTCCTAATAAGTCTCTTCACAGCTCTGCAGGAATAGCATTAGCCCATTACGAGATACTACTCACTACAATGGTGATTCCTACCGGCACACCATATACCATGCTTAGGCCTTCATATCTTTCCAAGCTATTTTGCGAGCTCCAAGATGCATCTGAGGATCTCTCCGACTGTCTTGATGGCCTTCTAAAAGAGGATCTAATACCATTACTTCCTATTAGCACGTAAGTAGTCAACGGCAACGACGCCCCTCGGCACTTTGACTAACAGCTAGGTTGTAGAATTGCATTGATAGTTTTCCCCCTTATCCATCATAGTCTGGATCTCTACACCACACATGACGACTCCTATACTGCTAAGGTATTGAGAAAGGGTCGCCTTGATGCCCTGACTGAAGCAATGAACAAGTTTGAGCAGACATACGATGGCGTCGAGTGGGTGAAGAGCATCCTTAGACAAGTAATCGATCTTGGTGAGTCTCGCCTTAGCGAAGCTACCAAAGATCGAGAGTGGAGAAGGAATCTTTCATCATCACCAGCCCCGTATTTGCGCATAGCATTCACTATCGAATTCAGTCTCAGCCGAAGTTATTTGTTTCAGGAGGCGGATGCTCCAGCATATTTAAAGACCGTCTTCAAGGACACGAACCCCATCATGGGCCGCTCTGAATCGACATGGATGCTCCAACCTAACTTTGGTATGCGTGATACAGCGGAGGCTTTAGATGAGGATTGGGAGAAGCTTTTGCAACTACAGAGCACGGCAGAGGACTCTGCCCTTGGATCAGAATCTACCAATACGAGTGTTGTCACTCCTATGGACGGTTATCTTGACTTTTTCGACTTGGCCGTAGGAGAAGGTACTCTTTGAGGTGCTTAGAGTGCATTTCCCACAGATAGTTGATAATGTCTGCCTCCAGATCTACTCTTAGTTTAGAGCGTAAGATCTCGGACAGATGTTTTGAGAGGGGGATTCATTCAGTTCAAATTAAAAAATACAGTCGCGTATTTGCATTCTTTCAGACCTTTTCAACAGCAGTCTATCCCATAATATATAGAAAGCTAAGAATCCAGATAGCAAGATTAAATAGCCGTCTCGGTTATATTTACCCTTATTCTTATCTTCAAAGTGACCCTTTGCATTGAAGAGTCCAGGCAAACCTAGCCTGTTGAAACAAGAGATGAAAATACGCTCAATGAGAACAATTACCAGTTGTATAGAAAGAATCAATAATGTCATCTGCTCACCAATCGGATGGATATATTTAAAGTGCGCTGAACTATTGGACACTAGCACAAAGAGTTGGCTTAGATCGGCGGGAATACATTTCCAGCAGCCATCCACCAGTTCTGACTCGACCATGTCTGACTCAACTGCTAAGATGGCTAGCAATCAGCAATGGCCGGGATTAGTGCTCAGGTCCCCGAGAGAATAAGCAGCACAGTACCCGTTCAAGACCAGCTACAGTGCAGTTTCAGCGGTAATCTGGTCCTGAGACCTGGGGAAATGGGCCGGCTTGGCTAGAATGCGGGGGAGATTGGGCCAAAGTAACAGTGCAAAAGTGCTAGCGGCAGGTTTTGTTTGCGGGGTATTGCTTTATTTTCTGGGAACCTGCGTGGACACAGTCAACATAAGAGGATCATTGCCGCCTGTTCTGAGCGGCTACAACCCTGAGTTCTTCCTTCAGATACACACCTACAACCATCTATTTATAACCTCAAGAGATGGCTGTACAACATAACAAAGACGAAACCCCTATGGCGGACGTCACAGGGGCAATCGGCCCGGACGCTGCTAAATCCCCCAACGCCGATCATGTTGAAGACTTGGAGGTGAAGGGTGCACCGGCCCCAGAGTTCACTCCAGCTGAGCAAAGACGAATCATGTACGTCGAACTCCGAGTTTCCCAAATATGAAGTCGGCACGTTAACCCAGGTCATAGCCGACGCATCGACATCAACCTCCTACCGATTCTAGGGATAATGTACTCTATTTCCCTAGTCGACCGTACGAATCTCGGATTGGCGTTGGTTGCCGGTATGCAGGAAGACCTCGGGCTGGCTGTCGGTGATCGATATACCATTTTGGTAATGGTATTTTTTGTTGCGTACATGTAAGTGTTCCATGCTGTTGAAGTCTCCTGAATATGCTACTAATTTTCTCCTAAAGCTTGTTCGAAATTCCTAGCGTAAGTCTGCGATGACCCGATACCGATCGACCCTTACATAGACTAACAATAATCTCAGAATTTCATCTTACCTAGAGTTGGACCGGCGAACTGGCTAACTTTCCTTGGTGCATCGTTTGGCGCAATTTTAATTGGCATGGGGTTTACCTACCACTGGGGTACCATGGCCTTGTGCAGAGCTCTATTGGGAGTTTTTGAAGCGGGATTTCTTCCTGGTTTGTCGCCTTTGCCTAACAGATGACTACTCAACATACTTACATTCGTTAGGATGTACATATTTGATCACTTGCTGGTACACGCGGTTTGAAGTCGGCAAGCGAATGTCTGCTTTTTGGATTCTTTCAGTTCTTGCCAGCGGGTTCTCTGCCATCTTGGCTTATGCGTTGACGTTGCTGAGTGGACAACAAGGACTTAAGGGGTGGCGCTGTATGTTTCTCCTCCCGGTTTTGTTTCCAAAACAATGTTTTATCACTAGCGAAAGCTAACCAAAGCTGCATAGGGATATTCATCATCGAGGGTGCCATAACGGTCGCAGTTTGCCTACTCGGGTGGTTCATCATTGTTGACTTCCCCGCAAAGGCTCATAAACTCCTCAAACCCGCTGAACGACAATTCGTGATCAACCGCCTGAATGAGGACCGAGGTGACGCTGAAAAAGACGAAGTTACTACTGCCAAGATATTGCACCATCTCAAAGACTGGAAGCTCTATTTTTGGGCTTTCAACCTCATGGCGTCAACTCTGCCTGGGTACGCGTATTCATACTTTCTCCCCGTTATCCTACGCGATGGCATGGGCTTCAACCGGGCGATGTCTCAGCTCTTGAGTGGGCCTCCATATGTTCTGGCCGCCATCATGGCTGTTGTCTCTGGGTGGCTCGGCGATCGCTACAAAATTCGAGGACCAATTATTGCAGTGCATCAAATCCTCACGGCAGCTGGCATGTTGATCACTGCATATGCGAAAGGCAACGCCGCTCGCTATTTCGGCGCGTTTCTCGGTATGATATTCAAGTCAGCACCATCAAGCAAGGTTTTTAGCTAATGTGATTGCGCCAGGGATTGGATTCTTACAATTTTGTGTCCCGGGTGTTCTGACTTTTCAAGCCAACAACATCATGTCTCACTCGAAGAGAGCCGTCGGTACTGCCACCTGTCTCATTGGTGGTGGGATTGGCGGGATCATCGCAAGCTCCGTATTTATGGCGAAGGAAAGCCCACACTACACGGTAAGTAGCACAACGATAGTTGCTATCTGGATGTAGACACTGATCATGAACAGACCGGTATATGGGTAACGTTCGCCATCTCCATAGTTAGTGTGAGCATGATTACAATTCTTGACATCTACTTGTGGAAGCAGAATAAGGCTGCCAGAGCTGGCAAAGTCTTGAACCCAAATGTGGCAGGATGGTTGTACACACTCTGAATTAGTAGAACGTTGTCTTCAAGTTCAGACCCTAGACAATGATTGATCCGGATAGATATGAATTCTCAGATCCATTGGATGACCCCAAGATAGTACAGGTCCTAATACTTGAATATGAGTGCACGCCTGAAGCTTGAATTATTGCACCACTCCCCGAGATCTTTCAACTACCCTATACCTCCAGAATACTTGTGATAACAAACGCCTACAAGCCTCATCAATACAGTAGCATCAAGTTTCACTGTTCAAAGAACCGTTGGTATTTTTGTGAGACACTTAAAGACGATACTTTGGCATTCTAACTACCATGAGTGTGACGGAGGATAAGGAGGTACTGTGAATATCATATCAGAAGATAAATCTCGAAATATTCTCAAGTTGTAGTTCTCGCCCAGTCAACTCGTAAATTACTTTGGAGCACTATTACGTATATATCTATAAATAGTACAGCAAGATAGTAGCATTTAACCATCATAATCGATCAGGGCTTTAAGCAAAAATCATGTATAAGGAAACAATCTTGCCCAAGTCACGTGGGTCAGATCCCAGGCGAAGGGATCTACCCCGCAAAATGCCTAAATCCCGGGGTAATCTGACCAAACACCTGGAGGCTGGGCAAGAAGAGATCCATCGTCCGTTCCCCTCTAAATTGATCGACTTGACATACCTAACCACACATCTCCAGAGCCGATTTCAAGCCATGACGCCAACATCGGCCGATGAAAACAATGCAGCTAATAGGCGAGCCAAGAAGAGGGAGCTGGATCGTCGAGCTCAGCGAGCTGCTCGAGAGCGCAACCGGAATCGGATTGCTCACCTGGAAGAGACAATTGAAGCCATGAAAGCACACGATTCCACTAACAAGGCGGCTGATTTGATGGATCAACTGGCTCAAGTCAAGTTGGAGCGCGATCGATTGGTTGAGACACTGCAGTCCATTAGCGATCTGGCTGGACGTCATGGATGTTCGCTCCCAAAGGCAGCGGAACCTGCTCAGCTTGGAGGGAGCCAGAGTGGCCAACAGGCTCTGGGAGAAGCAAGAGTCGCTTCGCCCATACCATCAACGGAATCCTTTGTAGAAGGCCTTGCGATAGACTCAAACCTGGATCTTCAATCGATCGCTAGCCCTCTGCCGGATGCTGGCCAATCTAGGACTCAACCTGTTATTGGAGCAAACGACCAACTTGACTTGGATTCCGAAGCTTTGCCCATATTTTCTGTATCGGACGGCCTTATCTTACCGGAGCCCTTGGGGGTCTGCGATTGTATTCTACCTCCGGCGCCCGTCAGTGTCACTGGTTCATCTGACACAACTGATTCAAGCATCTGGAAGAGTGCCAATCAAATTCTCGGTCTGAATCCTTCCTTAACACAGAGTACGCTTCGGATAGAGGATAAAACATCCGAAGACTTGCCCGTCCGCGCCATCTTGCGGGGATGGCATTCGTTCGATAGCGGAGACTTACCACCTCTGTGGCAAATGCTGCGACAAACTGACACCCTCCAATTCAAAGGGTGTAGAGATGTGGAAAGATTGGCAATCATGGTTATGATGCATCGCATCCTCCGGTGTCAAGCTGATACCTCCAACGAACGGTGGAAAAAGCTGCCACCGTGGCTGCAAGGCAGGTAGGTAGATTCTTTCTCGAGTTCTTCCCCATTGGAACGATGTTTGACTGTTGACGTACACATAGGCCGTCTCAAATGCTGCCACATTCCCCGGCTGTTGACTTCTTTGTATGGTCAGTCGCAACCTTTTCCCCTTATCCCTGCAGGAGCGCTTGCCTGACCCTTGCTTTTTAGGCCAGGAGTACGAGAACGCTTTGTCTTTTTCCAGCACCGTTACTGCTCAAATACCTTCTGGAAGGTTTTTGCAGAATCCTTCCGATTGTTGTGGCCCTTCGAGTTCCGAGATTGCTATCAGAGAAACGTCATGACTGGAGCATATTCTTTGTCACCCGCATTTGAGAGCCGCCTATATGATATCAACTGCTGGGCGATGACGAATGACTTCTTTTACCATTTTCCAGACTTTCGCTCAGATATACCATGCGCACAGAATATCACGAGCCTTCAATTTCGACATCAGCCTGAAGGCGAAGACTCGGTACAGCAGACTAACAACTCTTTGCCATACCACCTCGAAACCATGTTTTAGTTCCAATTCTGCGAAATTTGAATGTATTATGTACTGAAAGATATATAGAATTAATGCTTATTACAGTGTCTTTATGGTTGATAGCTTGCACGCTCCGAAAGATGCCACGCTGTTCTATGGAACACCAAATTTTGTCATATCCTCTTTGAATCCATCTTCCAGCTTATAGTTTGCAACATCATGCTCGTGAAGCAGAAACCTTCGCCCGAAATTACATTAATAGCGATCCATCCATCCCAGTCTCTTGCAAACGACAGTTGTGCCGCCCAACACCGCAGTCACTCCCGTGAAAACAATGAGCGGCCCATAGCCGCTTCCCCACGCCGAAGCTGCTTCATCCTTCCATGGAAGGTTCTTAATGAGCGCCTCACTAAGTGGCCCCGACACGACATTGCTCAGTCCACGCCCTGCAGTCATGACACCCAAGATCATAATGGGGTCGTACGAGGCCGCTCTGTTCTCCCCAGCAGGTGACTCGTCGGCTGCCATAGCACTGGATATGATATCTCGTGTCATGGCCGGCCAAATAGACACATATGAACTGGCAAACAGTCCATAGAGAATGCAAAACGCGTAAAGGGTAGCCAGGTTGCTAGCCAGGCCCCAGAGGAGAAAGGTGGACAGCGTGGCACCCAGCGTGGAAATCATCAGACAGGTTGAAATCCCGAACTTATCGGTGAGCGAGCCCATGACAATTGTCCCGATGACAGCCGAGACGTTGATGAGCATGACTGTCAAGGCCGCTAGAAAATGCCCCGCGCCTAGAAAAGAGCGAGCATATGTGGGTAGATAGACGGCAGGTAGAAAGAACCCGATGGATTCAGCCATGCCGGCGAATTGATAGAAAAGGAAGGTCTTGTCGAAGAGGAACGGGAGTTTGTACGGTTTGGCGTGTGTAGAAGAACTGATGGGGAGGCGAGGCCTGACAAAATAAATGAGCGGCATCGTGACGATCAACAGAGTGACGGCCCATATGCGAAGAGCGGTTCTGAAGCCGTATTTCCCAAGCAAGAACTCGAGCAGCAAAGGGATGAGGAAACCGCCGGTACCTGTTCCGGACCATACAATTCCAAAGGCCAGGCCTCTACGAGACACAAACCACTCATCCAGGTACAGCATGCAAGGGCAATAGCATGTGCAGGCCGCGATGGCATAAAATATTCCTTGGGTTACGATGAGTTGCGGCACGGTCATGGCAAAAGAAGATGCCACAAGAGACAAGGACATGACCAAAAGGCCAGCTATAGGGCCATATAGGGTTGCTCGGGGATATAGTCGTTGCAAGAGTACAACTAAGGGGAAGCCCATGTAACTGACACCCTACGATTAAAGTCAATGTAAGCATCGCGTCCAGGCATATGGGGGGGTTTCCAGCGTACGATAGCACAAGTTCCAATCGTTGCGATCCCAGATGACCCAGCGAAAGGCTCATGAGTCTGATAGTAGTCTTGAAAGACACCAAACGAAAAGGGAAATCCTATAGTTGTCAAGATAAATACTCGTCAGCACAACGTAAGAAATGAAAAAGGAAGCCTAACTCCCTACCCCAAACAACGGCTTCGATTAGGAAGCTCGCAGCAAGGAACAACCAAGCGCTCTTTCCTCTATCTGTAGGTGGCAAGGAAAATTCAGGCTGTCCAGTCAGTACTGTGGTTGCTGCTTCAATTTGTCGAGGAGGTGTCGCATAGCCGGAGGCTTTGGGTGCAGTGGTGTATCCAGCGTGCGAGGTTTTGCTGGTGGTGCGAACAGGCGCATTGTAATGCTCTGAGAGCTCTGAGAGCTCAAGAACGGTTGTTGTAGCCATGAGGAACACGCCCTGTTTTCTTTGCCTCACGGAATGCCTACATGTGTTGTTGAGTTTTGAGGACATCAAAGCCAATAAATAGGCAAACATCGGTATCCGGAACCGAACTCCGGGATGTGAAGGTTTTGCTTGATAAGCCGACGAGGATTAATTCTCCTAGCACTTGCTAGATCGCTACCAAATACGGAAAGTAGCATACAAAGCCTGCATTATCAACTCTCCACACTAGAGGAGGGGCAACTAGCTAAGAGTTTTCTACTACTACCACAGTGGGGGCATCTTCGCTTCCAGTGTCGGTGACGGGTAGAGCCTGGGCTCGTGATCAGATTATAACCGCAGTGGGAACGGACACAGGGATCCAACATACCAACCCGGTGTTGCCCGGACTGAAAACGCCCAAGGCTAGAATTTACGAAACAAGACCTAAGCCAGAAGCACATCTAGCAGCCACAACCAGAAGCAAGGCAAGAAGCGCAAGTCCCTGATTCTATTTATGAGCTTAATGAAAAGAGATTTGGAAAGTAGCGGGGCATAACGGACAATCAAGTTGAGAAACTAAAGTCAGCCAGGGATTAACTATGTGTCAACCGCGAGGACCACAAGAAAACCACAAGCGCCGCTTCTATTACATCAAAAGCCGCACTAACATGATGAACAGAAATGTTAACTGTAAAATGAGAACAATATCGTTTGTTTCCTTCTTTATGACTTACACAAGACTTTCCACGGTCTCAAAACTGTCGTAGGTGTAGTATTCGAGTAAAGGGAAGCCCTCGACTGCACTACTTATCATGTCCGTAAACTATCAGGAGCTCGATGACTTTCGCCACGCCACTTTTTGTAGATTTGTTACGCCTCGTGGACCTCGATTGAAGAATATCGCACAACTAGGGTAGTGGCGCCCCCAAAGAACTTTGAAGGTCCATATCTATACCCTAACTTTCTATTACGAGCTATCAGTTCAGCGCTACATCTGCAAAGATCTAGAAACTGAAGCAATAATTCAAGATATTGAACAATGTACTAAATGAACTGAGAGATTTCGGAAAGTCTATTACAGAACTATATCTGTCACTGACTAGCCAAATCGAGTCGACTATCATTGAGACAAACTCATTACGAGCGTTCCAGAAAGTTTAACTCAAGTATCGGGAGGCCGGCAACAGGGCCATTCCTTAGGAAGTCAATGAGTTCTTTGGATGTTAGGAGTCCAAGATGTAGCCCTCCAATCCAGTAATGGGTGGCAGGAAAACCGATCAGCAAGTATAGATATTTTCGTGCGAAAACAAGATCTTTACGCTTCCTTGTCGAATTAATGACAGTATCCCAGGCCACCATGTTATTTTCGATACGATCCTAGCCACATACTCGCGGCACTGCCACGACTCATTCGTCAGCTCCTTCAGAATAAGATTTCTATCCTTAATACACAGGGGGATACACAAAGATATCAAGGATTACTTGTCAGTATGATAATTTCTGAACACGAAAAAGGCCTGGTGTAAAAGCAAGGGTAACTATGAGCATTGAAGTTTCGGTCATATCATCAGACAGATGCAGACTAGCTGAATATGGTTACTTTTCCTTTAAAGCTCTGGGAACGGCCGTCAATTCAGGGTTTCTGCCTTGGCGAAAGGTTGATAGCCATGAGAGTGACCTCAATGATAGGGGTGGGTGATAGATCGGCATTTCTGACGCTGGTCGGCCGAGTGGTAATTCCCATAAGCCATCCGAGGCTACGAGCTATGCATCCAGTAACCGCAAATTTGCATTATACGATTTAACACCCCTTCTGCCTCCCTGTATTTCACACCTTAGTTACAGATTTTGAGGGTTTACTTCCAGAAAAATGGGCATTTCTTATAACCTTAATCCTAACCCCGGCGGCGGCTGTGTGGTGGTGGATGGCGAGATTGATCTGATCCAGATTTGTATCTGCAATACGAGCAAAGTTACACTACCCATTCAGGGTCCTGTAGCTAGGAAGCTGTATGCAGGCACAATTAGCGATACAAACAAGGGATGAAATTCGTCTCCAGAAAGGGGCACTAAAGGTGGTACGTCAGATCGCCAAGGCGGGTGATTGGATGTGGATCTGCCGTGATGACCTAAAAACACGTGGAAAAATTCTGCCAAGAACACGGAAAGGCTTGGTCAGACATCATCGTCGTGTATGCATCCATCCCACATCCAATTTCCGTATGCAGACATATAAGTGATTCTCAGGAGCTGCTAGAAGCAAGGTCCGATGATATATTTGAATTCTATACGAGGCCATTGTAACATGGGTCACCAAGATCAGCACTTGGGTCCTCGTCATCATCAGCAGAGTGACCAGTTTGGGCACACCTGCCTCCACGGGATACGAGAGTCTTCGACTGGGGCCAAGGATATACGGATTACGGCAGGGGAACAAATAGCTGTCATGTCTGGGATAAGGAACAGCGCTTAAAGACGATCATGGAGAGTTAGTTCTCAGTCCGCACTACCCCTCAAGACGTCTCGCCATGGAACCTATGGAAGTGGACTCTCTCGGATCCCAATACGTGGCAGTGAGAATAATGACTCATCTAGCCGTAGCTTTTTCAATCCAAGAGGCCGAAACGAGTCATGGCAATAGGTGTGTGTGGTCCACTTGGTTCTGGGAAACACGATCTGGTCGTCATGGGCG